CCGGCATGGCCGGGCACTGGCTGCTGAGCCCGTCGAGCTCTCCCAGGCACCGCCTTCCGTTAAGGAGAATGATCTCGCGTTTGGGGAAGATGCTCGATTATTTTGCTTCGCCAAAGAACGGGTGGAGCGTGGCCGGGGTAGCGCGGGTCACCTCGTCGCCCAGCCCGGCTTCCCTGGGGTGGCCCAAGGTGAGAATGAGAGGGCTCCGTCCAGAAACAGTCTTTAGTCTTTCTTTTGTTGTGGGTGTTTTATTCTTTTTTTTTTTTAACAACGATGAGAATTTTTTACAATTAAATGTCGATTTCAGTGTTGACTCTAAAGGAAGCCACTTGTTCAGCAGTGCGGGCTGAGACCGTCAGAGGTACCTGGACCAGGTTGTGTCATCTGAAACCAGACAGTCCTGCGTGTTTAACGCTTTACTGTCCTGTCCTTCTGCTTAGAATTTTTCTTCCCCCAAAAGCTGTAGAAACACCTTTCCTGTGTCATCCCTCACGTCTTCTCCGCTTTTATAAACGTGCATAAAAATACGGCCAAAAGTGTAGGACAGCACAGCAGCTATGAATGCTGCGCTTGCATCAGGCCAAGTGAAGACAGATAAAAAAAACAGACTCTGATCATACGCTGTTTTTCTTGCCAGCTGGTTGGTTTTTAGTGGGTATTAATAGGTTTAGCTGCTGCCCTTTTGTTAAGAATAATTCAGAGCTTCCTTGTTATCAGGGCCATGACTGGAATAGCCTGTGTTTGCCCATCTGGAAAACAGTGAAGACAAAAGCTAGTATGACTGAAACAGCAGATGTCACAGGGCTGTAAGATGCTAAAATGTACTAAAAAAAGCCCCCAAGTCTCTCCTCAGTACAGGGGAAGGAGAAAAAAAAAAAAAAGAAAACTGGAGGGATTTTAACAAGCCTGCTTGTTAATGTAAATACTTTGCTTTTTCTTCATCACTTTGGTCAAAACCGTTTCCGTTTTTAATATTTGTAAACCGTAATGCTGCGCTCGGGCTAAGGATGTGAGGGGATTTTGCTGGATCAGCAGGCCCGTCCCAGTGAGACTGGCGAAGGAGGAAGGGGAGAAGTAGAAGGAAACAGTACAACAGACAGCACAGATAACCCCCCAGAACTGAGGAAATGCCAAATTTCTTGCCTGAAATGCTGTGGCGGTGTTTTTGTGCTGTTTTCTTTTTTAAGAGCGCAGCTGAACCAGCAGGCAGGGGGGTGGCCTGGCAGAGCAGGCTGCTGGGTACGGCTGGGGGGGGCGCTGGGGCCGATACCCGCCTGGGCTTCCACCAGCTCCCGGGGGTTCACCCCCTCCCATTTAGTTAACAGGTAACTTTAAAAAAATTCTAGGCTTTCCTCTCTGAATCCTGTCCATGTGGGACTGTGGATAGGAATTTGGGGCTACTCACTGTCCCGCTTCCCGGTCAGTGACAGCGATGGCTGACGATTCGTTTCTGCCCCTTGGCAGTGCTGTGGGATGGATGTGTCCCTCAGCAGCTGGAAAGCAAGGCGATGATAGTCTCACCGGGAGAGAGTGTGAGATTTCTTCATCAAGGGTAGAGGGTTAATTATAATGATTGTTCTGATTGGACCTGTCTGTTATCTGTCCAGAGGTCCTGTCCTCCTCCTTACCCTTTTAGTGGGTGAGACACCCTCTTGGTTAAACCTTTGGCCAAACTGTTGCAAGGTACTGATTCACTGCACTGAGTACAGACCTCTGGTGACTTTACAGATGTATATATTGTCTGCGTGCTTGCTGATTAATTAATGAATAAACTCCAACATAAGATTTAAAGCAAATCAATCCCCCGTTTTGCTCGGACTTGTAGAAATGTCAAACACCTGCTGTCTCCAGCTGGCGGGCTCTTCAGCCTGACATGGTGATGGAAACTGCCGAACAAAAGACTCGGGTGCAGCACAGTCTGGATACAAACACATGCATCCGCGTGAATTATGCAAGCACAGCAATGCTCATGCAGACTACCAAGAAAAGAAATGCAGTTCCCCACTGCGGGAAGATAGGGTCTGCTAGGCTTTACGTGATCTGCCATGAACACAGTCCACACTTAGACTCAAAAACCTGAGACTGCCCAAAGTTGTCTTTTATTTTCCGTTTGCCAAGTAATAGGGGAAAAAAATGAGCGTGACTTTACGTGGAGCTCTGCAGGACCTTCAGTTCACGCGCTGGATGAAGCCGGGTGGTTCTGAGTTGTCTGCGATATGAGGAGTGCGTATGTTGTTCTTTTCTTGGTTGCTGGCAGCGGTCTTGTTGAAAGTGTCCGGCCAGTTAAGGTTGTCTCAGCCTACCTGCTGAGTGGTAAAACATTCGGAGTGTTCTAGCAGCGTCTCTAGAAGTTAAAAAAGAAAAAACCCACTTGGTATCACTTTATTATGTCAGCAGCAGAAGCTAGGCATCCAGCGTCTACTTCAGTGACTTCTGTTTTGAGATTTTTGGATGTCTTTTGACTTTTTTCGTAGCCCTTTTACTGGTAGATTAATTCACCGTAATCGTATTTGTAGCAAATTAATATGTGAACTTGAGTGCAAATTTTTTAAACAAGTCGTTCA